GGTGTCCGCTGTATAGACCGTATCTACCCGATCCGGGATGCCAAACTGAGGCCATCGCTTGTTGACCTCCTGGGAATCAAGAAGCTCATATGGAAGCCCATTTGCGTCCAGACTCTCGGTATAGTCACTCGCAGGGCACGGCCCATCCTTGGGGAAAAATACGACACCTCCCGTGATGGTCAACAATGACAACCCAGATCGTTTCTCAAGCTCCGCCCAATCCTTGTATGCAGATCTAGCAAGTGCCACATATTCGGGAGCTCCGTAGGATGTCCTCACGATGCGAGAGGTATCGTGGGATGCGCCCCGCACATGGCCAAATTCGAATTGTTCAAATCCAATTACCTTGGCTCCTTTGGCTGCAGCGTGATATGCAGCGGCGCTTCCCATGGCGCCCAACCCAACAACGGCTACATCAAAATGCTCCATGGCTTCGCTTATTCGAAAGGGATGAAGTAGGGTAAATGGCAGTATTAACTCGTAAAAATCAGAGATGAGAGAAATGCGACTTCAGTTGTCCAGCGTGTCAAGACGGGACAGAGTTACATCAATTTATGGTGGGGGCGAGAGCACCTGAGCTGCAGATAACCAATACTATGGGATTGATAACACGGAGTAGATCACGGGATTTCCGTGCCGGTATCGCTACTGTGCATCAGCTGCTACAGGCGGACAAAGAGGTCGGGAATCCCGAGGGGCATGCTCCGACTGTCTCCCCGCATCACCATCGTGAATAGGTTCTTTGATTGATTACGTTGCCAAGTGAGCAACAGCTCGTCAGGGCCATGAATACCCGGTCATCGCGGCAATATCGACGCGTGGGCATCGCTTGTGACAACTGCCGGTACAATTACTCCGTCTTTCTAGTCATGATCGCATACTGACATTGCTGTGTGGAGTCGGAAGAAGACTCGGTGCCCAGGCCAGAGACCGAAATGTTCCACCTGTGCACGTTTAGACCAGAGATGCTTTTATGATGGTAATGAACATGAAGCAGAGCAACCTTCAAATGAGGATGTGGTAAGTGAAAACTCCAGACAAACGCCAAACGCTTGCTGATGGTACCAGATCAGCCGCCTTCGACTGCTTGAGGCACAACTCAACACTCTTAATGATAAGCTCGAGTATGCTGTCTTAGTCTTCGACAATCTGATTAAAGCTGACTAGCTATTATAGACTTGGACCAGCGAAGGATGTGACACCAAACTCAGCTGCTGGCCCGAGAAGTAGTTTACCCGGTTCAGCCTACCCAGAAACGCCAGTGTAGGGTTTGATTCATGACACGGATATATATCAGGCTAACACATATAGATCAACACTGCAGACAAACCATGTGCGAAAGGCATTCGAAGTATATTTTGAACGTATTCATCGTCAACCCTTGTGGCTTTTCGAAACGACCGTCTTCCCGCCTGCTGATATGTCCGAAGAACTGACTTATGCCATACTTGCCTTGAGCCTTTCTTATTCTTCGAGTGAATTCAATGACCTAGGTTTGCAGAGTGCTATGTATTACTACGAACAAGCAAGGCGACGAATATTGCTGGATATAGCCGAAGGAGATTCAGATTTGAAAAGCATAAAAGTACTTTGCCTCCTGTCATTTTTCAACGTCATTTGTAAGTTACTTGGACCATCAATTTCAATAACCCTTCCACAAAGTTAGGATTAACGATGTGAAATAGCGGGCAATATCCCCCTTGCCGGCCTGAATATGTCATTTGCCCAAAACCTCATGCAATATGCAACTGTCACTTCGGATTCTTCAGACAATGTATACAGTCCCGACGAAAGGCCACGGATTTTCTGGAGTCTTTCGTTATTGACCAGATATTATGGCCCGCCGATTTTGATTCCGATTTTGGCGGGTGGCATCAAGAACTCATATTTCTCAACGGTAGAAGCAAGGAATGGTAAGACAGCCTGTCCACCAGTTCCTCTGGAGGATGGGGGTAACTTGTTTGGCGTTTGGGCACACTGTGCACGTCTTGGCAGTTTGTGGGGGGACGTCAGAGTATTCATTTCCAGATGTATGGAAGGGTTTACGGAAGCTCCTTGGAACATCAACTCTGACTACCATGCGCTCTATTCACGCTCTTTAGATCTGGAAGTAACCCACCGAACAGAGTTGAGCTACAATAATGTACGGTTTTCGGAGTTATCGAAAGAGGAGGTTCAGAGAGACCGACACGACTGGCTCCCCTGGCTACGAATGCAGGTTACATACCATACTATTCTTTGTATGCTCAATCACCCATTTCTTTTCTCGTCCAAGATTTCGAAACAGAAATTCGGCAAGACTACATTTTGGCGAGAGTCTTCAGAGAAGGCCCTTCGACATTGTAACTGGGTATCTCGGCTTCTAAGATTACCTCGAGAGAAAGAGCTGCAAATCGATGACCCATTCTTCGCTCAGGCAGCAGGCATTGCGGCGACGTTGAATCTCTACTGGGCGCGTGTGAACGATGCTAGTGTAAGAACGAGAGCATTGGAGAATCTCGAGATCTGTCAAACAGTTATATCTGAAATGGCCACATACCTACCGGTTTGTGCAACTATTGTATGTGTTATTCATTTTCTATTTTGAGCTTGGTTATTAATCATTTATTTCCCAGGAGCAATCCCTAAATCTCTTCAAAAACTTTGTAACGCCATCACCAATCCAAGTTGAACGCCTCGGATCAACCAAAGCGAAGCCTACAATGGCTCTAAAATGGCTACTGCTCGACATCGCCGCGCCTCAGTTTCCACATTACACCAGCGAGTCTCAATGCGGCACGACAGAAGACGGCCATGACGAGATCATGCTGAACAGCTCGGACATTGGAACACCTCCGGGAAGGATCCGGGAGTCGACGGGACATTACGCTTCGCCGCCCGAGTGGATGTCATCACAAACAGACGAGACATCAGAATCAGGACCTCGTCCACACTTGTCAATGGCACAACAAGAAACATTCCACCAGTCTTTCAACAGAATGATGTCAGATGGGCAGTATGACCAAACCGACTTCAATTTGGCTTGGGGCCCTTGGGGACAAGTTGGGAACGTTGGAGATAGTTTTGGGCCTGGGCTGGAATGGTGGGATTTCACTACCTTGTAATTATTGATCTATCAGCAGAATTTCAATGGGGTTATTATAGATCGTAGCTATTATGAAGTAGGAATTAAATCTGACGAATCATGAACTACTATAACTCAACCTGCCAGCAATAACTGTGAGTGGGAGGGAATAAGCTCGCTTGATGCGGAGCCCCTTTCAACAAAACACCGATTTCAATGTATTCTATATTTACTCTAATGTATACAGATTTAATCTCCTAAATTAAAGATGTCTTGTCCGGGTGCTAGGCACGGCTCAATGACACGGAATATTCGATCACATGACTTCATTCCCTCCACTGTTCCCCGTCACTGGAGCGGGGAGAATCCGGCCTTTGTCTCCCTGAATATAGTATGCAGTCCCCATGATTAAAGGATATAAGTCTGTATGAAGAATCAAGAATACTCAGTCTGCTCATGCTTTTGCTTGCCTCATAACACAAGACGAATTCCAAGATCTGACCATGCACATCAATATCGAGCCTTATATTGTCACCAACTTGATTGTTGCCCTAGCTCTTGGCAGCTTTGCGCTCGCCGTAAAGTTAGCTTTACCAAAGTTGCCTAAATCGCTATTCCTAAAGCCTAGTCCACAAACAGCTACTGTCCGGGCCCTTCCATCCTCCTGGTACAGGTCGGCCGAGGTATACGAGCTTGAGCGCCGGGCCATTTTCTCAAAGAAATGGATTCTTGTTTCACACAAGCTGAGATTTGTGGAAAACGGCACGTGGATCCGATTCGAGGAGGCTGGATTCCAGTTCTTTCTCGTCAAGGATCACAAGGGGAAGATTAATGGATTCCACAATGTTTGCCGTCACCGTGCCTTTCCCATAGTCACGGAGGAAAAGGGCAAATCGCTGGTACTCGCTTGCAAATATCATGGCTGGTCCTATGGACTCAGTGGCCAACTTGCCAAAGCGCCTGGCTATCTCGATATGGAAGGTTTCGATAAATCAAAGAATGGATTGTTTCCCATCCACGTGCACGTGGATGCTAACGGTTTCATCTGGGTGAATCTAGATGCTTCAAAGAGCCCAGAGCCGTTCGGGAAAGAGCTTGATAACATTGATAAGCTTGAAAGGCACAAGGCCTTCAATTTTGATGATTATCATTTCGACCACACCTGGGAGATGAGCGGCGACTATAACTGGAAGACCCTGGCAGACAACTACAACGAATGCTACCATTGCAAGACGACACATCCGGATGCTTTGGGCCTCTCCGACCTCGACAAGTACAGTGTTGAAGTCAAAGGCGGACACATCGAGCACTTGCCTGATACAACAAACACTGTGGTCAAAGATGTATATAATCTCGTGTCCAACTATTATTTCCCCAACGCCTGTATGACAGTTACGTGAGTATATCAAACTGCCTCCAAATCCGAACTGCTACTGATCAATTCAGACCGCACTTCTTTTACATGATGAGATGCGTCCCAACCTCCTATACCCACTGCTCGATGGAATACGAGGTATACCGGCACAAAGACGCCAGCGATGAAGACTTCAAGACGATTGACGAAATGTTCAAACGAATCTTGAGCGAGGACAAGTGGCTTTGCAACAACGCACAGAAGAATCTCAATGCCGGGGTTTTCGTCAATGGGGAGATGCATCCGCGAATGGAGCAGGGCCCGTTGTACTTTCAAAGTCGAGTACGACAGGTGTTGAATGACCACCGGAAGCTGGAACAAGTCGCTGGCCAAGAAATATGGCCGGCTCGACAAGCTGCTCCTAAGGATTCTGGTGATACGGCGGAGGATATCAGCTTCTGTTCGGGATTGTCGTGTTCAAAGAATACTACCGCCCTTGAGTGGTGAGGAAGGCTGATGAATGCCCCGAACATCTTTCGTGATGGGACGGTTTCTGTAGTTTGTTTAAAGATATAAAAGACGTTATAAACGTAAAACGTCTAATGTCTCTAAGGATTCAATATATACACCTGAAGTAGCATTAGCAGAGGTAATACAGAACAGGTTGCTGGACGAGGAGATATAATGTACCTGCGACCTTCCACCTCGTATTAAGCCTTTGCAGTGTGTTGCGAAAGATGGATTCGAGCCCCTTTGAACTTTCCGGCGGGTTCAATAATGCAGCCTTTGCAGCACCGTAAATGCTATGAAGAAGTAGGGGAGGTATGGACTGCAATTCAGGCTCGGTCCTTTTTAAAATCATCTCACACAGCTCGGTGACTCTATCCATAACAAGACCTAGAGATGAGTCCAAGTGTTCACTCAAGGACTGCAAAGAACCATCACCATAACCTCGCATCTGCCCATGTTGATTTAAAGCAAATATGGAGCTATATCCTTTAGAGTGTACTCTATAATGGCTGATCACAAAGGAGAGTACCCACCTGTAACAGATGCATAGCTGGCTTCGGATTTCAACGCCGTATTTAGCAGCCTCATCTTCCGCTTCCAATATCAAGGACTCTATGGTTCGAGCAAGCTGCAGATATTCCTCCTGTGCCTTTGTCGACAAGTTACCAACCGCCGGTTCTGCCTCTCTAGAGGAAATGAAGGAAAGCACTTGTCCGAGAAGCTTGGTAGACTCTACGAGCAAAACAAAGCAACCCTCGTCTCTACTTCTTTCTTGTCCGCTACTTGAAGTGCTGTTTGCGAGGATGGTTTCGGACTGAAGTCAATATCTTAGCTTACATTTCACTGTTTGGTGGAAAATGAGCCATACATTACCAAACATTTGCACGGCTCTGCTATCCGGTAGATTACCAGTCGAGTGTGTCGGTGCCAAGCGGCCCAGTTGCGTAAATCTGGAGTTTGTATAGTTGATGTTAGTGCATGATCTCTTTTTATCTCGCCTCAACCGCCCGATAATGGTTGACTCTGGTAGTTAGTTAAAGGAAGTAAAGTCAAGGAGAACTTGCCGCTCTAACAGAATGGCTGCAGACCAAAGCTTCTGGCTCTGTTCGTGATCGAACCGGCTTAAGGGTCGTTGGAGTCGGCACTCCTGTGGCCCTCCCAGGCCGATGGCATGACTATAACGCACACAGGCTCCGGCGCTCAAAAAGGCAGATGGATATATCCCATGCCCAATTTCATAGAGTGAGATCAAAAGACTGGCTTGCAAGACAGTCTCAGACATAATGCCGGCGATCTCCAACCCAGCCAAGCCTTGTTTCGCCGTGACATAGATACCAGATCGAGGCCCGGCAGGCCAAGTTTTAGGGCCAGAGACAAGAAGTCTAATGCAAAGGAAAAGCAAGGCGACGTCAACAGGTAGATCCGAACTCGACGTTTCCAAATAGGCATAAATCTGTTGTTTATGTAAGATGGGCAGCCACACGTGTACGTCAGTAAAATACGACGAAACATAGGTCAGTATCTCCTCTTTACTCTCTCCCAATTGCCGCGAGTCGAAGAGATGGAAATCACGAGATGAAGGGGCCCGAGGGACCTGTGTGCGCAACTCTTTATGGATGGATTGATCAACAAAGGCGACTGTAGGAAATCCATCTTGAAAAGCCCCCGCGGCATCCGGTAATGGGGGTGTAATGTCGGCTCCGTGATCATCAATTTCCCGAAGGACGGTACGTTCATTCGAAGGAAATGAGGGCTGACGCCTTCTCTTGCCAGATCGGATACCGTGAATATAAGTGCACCTGTGGTCTCGCCTAGATCCCATTGGCGATTAGACATGCCATTTCAATCAAGAGTAGCGGATGAAGATTTCGCCCACAATGAACATTGGGAGCATTTCGGTTGGGCCTTGTCGCATTTTCTTTTTTTTAGCCGACAGGCTTCACAGGCCGGGATAGGGATGTTTGGTGTAACCGCGCTTTCCATGCTCAATTAGTTCAGTCACTCAGAGTTGAGAGTGAAACAGTTTTAGATGAGGCTCTCTAATTACTGCCACGGAGACCAGAACTTGGACGCTATTGATTATCACGTGTAGTAATGCCAGTCTAGCCTGATCCAGCGCTCTACATCCCTGACAGTCTACATGCAGCTCTCTTCTTCAACCACGGCTGAGGTCAGCCTTCCTGAATCCCAAGGTCTGAACACTCTTCTTTAGCTAACATTGTTCAGCTCTGAGACACGAAAACAACTATTCAAAGGCTACTAGACCATCAAAAATTGCAATTAGTCATTTTATTCGCAACCGCCCAAAGTCTATTCGCCACCTGTTCGTCTTGAACGTGGCTAGATATGATCTCGGTAAGCTGACAGTCGTTGATATATGCACCGCTGCGACCTATGTTTTTCTTTGTGTTAGCAAGTTTTCTTTCGCAGCAAGTGGGTGTTGAGTAGCTTCGCTTACTTTGGAGAGCAGGGTCAAGCGCGGCAACAAGCAGACTGGCGGCCCCCTGTGTCGCAGTTTTATATTCCATAGTTGCATTACGGAAACTACCGATATGCCGTTGCAACTCCGTAATAACCACTGCCAAATTGTTAGCTTAGAGGCGCAAAGGAGATTAGTGAAATGATATCATACCTCCCGGGGCTGCGCTGAGTGTCGAGATCCCTTGGCTCTGGAGGCGTTTTGTGAGCCCGACAGAGAGAAGCATGCTTGCCGCGTTTGAATGGAGGTAGGCCAACATCCCATTGTAATCACCGGGAGATGTGAGAGATCCAATTCCCAGGCTTTTTGCGGCGGCAAAATCTGGCTGCTCTTCTTGGGGCAATGCCTCTACGCCCTCCCAATCGATATCATGGAAGCGAATAGGACAAATCATGTAACCCCCGGACGTGACATTCACAATCCGTCCACCTTGAGCTATGTTGGATGAGATCAAGTTGGTGAAAAGCCAATGGCCGAGAAAGTTGGTCGCAAAATGCATTTCATGGCCATCAACCGATAGTGTTCGATGTGGCAATGCCATCACCCCGGCATTATTGATCAAGGTATTAATCGTAATTTTTTGCTCTACCAACCTTTTGGTAGCCTCGCGTACAGATTCAAACGAGGACAAATCCATCTCCAATGACATTATTGGCGGCGGATCTTTCATGTTAGTCTTGATAACATTGACAACTTCATCTGCTTTTGCGATTTGTCGAGCTGTGAAGATCAACTGAGCAGGATGCTCTGAAGCAAGGGCCATTGCCATGGCTGCGCCGAGACCATTGGGAGAGACTCCGGTAATAAGTACTACATCTCTTAGCCTACAAAGGGAATACATGTCTGGATCGACGAAAGCTTACTTGTGGTCCCGGCATTGTAATTGGAGAAAGCTGCAACAACCTCTTCCGAGGTTGTGCTTTTGTCAAAGTCTTGTCGAGAAGTCATGATGATTGCAGCCTGAGTTCGAAATAAATGTTAGATAAAATCATTCGAAAGAACTTGGCACGTTGAAGGCGTATTTAAGGGCAGATGGCTTCTCTGGACTTAAATTCCGGATCTCGGACATGCCTGCATTAGATCCACCCGGGTGCATTAGTATGATGACCTATCAATTATATGTACAAGCCTAGGATTAGAAACAAACTGTTGAGTATCTAGAGACTACTGAATAAAGTGTTATTCCGCGGTAGGTAGAAGATCTCTTTGGGAGCTCTCGGAGTTAGGAGTTTGCTGTTCACTCTACCTACTGAGGCGGAGAAGGGTGGCTCAGACCCGCCAAACACTCTATCACGTCTAGTCGTACCACGGCCCTTTATCTGCCACTTACACTGTTTTATAGGATCAAATATCACGAATCAAAAAGGGTGGATGATCAAATCTTATTGGAAAGCCTTCAGGACTTGATTTCGCTCGAGAGTCCGTGAGCACCTGACGGAAACAACGTAGCCGTAACCATTCGCGTGTGTATTTCAGGCGCTGCAATATACTCAATCGCACAATTTAGCGTCAACTAGTCCAGTCTTACTTCGGTAAGGCTAGAAAATGAATAAGTTAGTTCTAAGTCTAGGTGCTGATGTTGCAACTTGACAAATCTTAGCCCTAACCCGCAGAGAGTTAAGTGGACGTTAACAATCGCTTTAGATCCTGCTTCAAACTGTCCAAGCCGGCGTCGTAACCCGGCTCTGCCTTTTCACCGAAGTCTCCTCCGAAACGGTTATCCTCATCAAATATAGCAATTGTTCCCAGCATTTGGTACGCTTTGGTTTCAAGTCGATTGGTCACACCCTTCCCCGTGTCCGCATGCCAGAGCTTCAAACCCTCACCCAGAAAGTCCTTGACTGGAACATCGAGCACCTTCCATTCTTCTTGCGGGAAGACCTCTCTGATGATGGAGATAAGCTCGTTATTAGAGACGGTATGGTGGGAAAAGTAAGCTGGACGGTTGCGGAATTTTTCAGGTTCTTGCAAAACTGCAACCGTGGCTTCACCACAGATATCGAGTCGACTCATGGCATACTTTTGGTCCCCGGAACCAAAACGCGTAATGGTGCGATCCGCTTTATTGACCCAGAATACGCCAACGTCTATGGCCCAGTCATACCATCCATTCGTGAGAATGGCGGTCCATGACAAGGGGCAATCTGGTGATGAAGTCAACCGCTCCAGTTCCTTCTGGGCTTTGAGTTTTGGCTCAAAGATCATGATTTCAGACGCGTGAGGGCTGAAAGTGTCGGTGCTAAAGTCCGGAGTGATCAGATGCGAGACTCCAGCAGCCAGTGCGGCTTTCACAATTGTGGCCTGCCATTCAGCCGCCGCGGGGTTGAAAGCTTCCACTATAGCGTGATGACCACGAAGTATGGCCACCAGAGAATCGAAATCATCATATGCAGCGCGCTTGACAACCAGATCTGAGGGATGGGCTGCATTTGAACCTGGTCTCGCAATTGCCGTCACGCTGAACCCTGCCGATCTAAGAGCGGAAACAACGACGGTACCAACTCTTCCAGACGCCTATTGCTCTCTGGGTCAGTAGATTGCTGCTGAAGAACCGATTTCCAACAAAAGGATGATGTGACTTACGCCGAAAACTGCTACGTTCTTAATCGGAGGCATTTTGAAAACCGTTGAGATCTACTTCAAGGTGGGTAGAGTAATGAGGTTGCTGATGCTGCCTTTCCCATGACTGCCGTAGATAGTCGTAAGGGTTTATATATCCATTCTGATCATCACGTTTCTGCACAGCATAGTAAACGCCGAAGTCACAGCACCCTCTCGCACATAGCAGGCCTTTAGTCACGGCCGCGTGGGACCACTACTGCATCGGCCGTTCCCTGCTCTTGCATCGGCCGTTCCCTGCTCTTGCATCAGACAGACTAAGTAGGTAGTTAGGTGGATATATGCATCGGCCGTTCCCTGTCTTTGCATTAGACGGTGGAGTGGATTGAAGTCACGAATCAAATTTCTGCCGGCTGAAAGGGCGCGATGTGAGCAAAATGACGGCCATTTTGTATTTGTTTATGTGACTTTATGGGATCATAACGGCATTCACTGGTAACCCTCATCAGCCACATAAGAATTTTCATTGGCTTGGATTAAATGGTCAACATCTATGTTGTCTTAATCTACCTTAGAGTGAATAGTCCGGCTGAGCTATCAATCTAGTCGTACCAGACTCATGTGATTGAATATGCCCACAGGTTACGACCAGACAGCGACAACGATTGGCTAGATCTGCGCCATGGCTCATACATCGGGGTTCTGGCGGAAGAATTCCTCCAAACTCGTCTGCTTCACGTTGGAGAAGCGGGCAACATCGACCGGCTCGTAATCCCACGTGCGCAGGGGAATGTGGTACTGGTAGAGATACCAGGCGTAATTCCACCACTGCGCCTTCGTGTACTTGGCTCTCCCCTCATCCAACTTTGCTTTCGCATCCTCCACAGAGCCCAGGCGCTTGTGGGTAGCCTTGGCCTTGCCTTCCCTTGCCGCATTGTATGCCTCGACGACATCCTCCGGGGAAGCCTCGAAGCTCTGTACTCTGATATATCCTCCCTCGGCTGCATCTGGTGCAGAAATAGCCTCGAGTACGTAGTTGGCAATGTCACCGGCGGTTGTATAACGGGTCTTGAACGTCGAGTCTCCATGGTATATCACCGTCTTGGTCTCGCGATCCCAGTCTTTCGCGCTTCGAACAAAGTACCACTCCGCAATCGCTCCGGTGAACATGTAGATCGGCTTAATGGTGGAGGTCATCGAGGCATGATGAGCGAAGTGAGCGAGCGAGTCGTAAACTTCGTGGGTACCAGGAGATCGCCTCCAGTCGAGGTTCCAGGTGCTGGCATGGAAAATCTAAAAATGATTGCATTAGCTTTGGGGAGACACTTATTTTTACAAAACCCTAGCAGCCCATACCTTCACACCAGCCCGCTCGGCTGCCTTAAGGAGCAGCACTTGTGTTTCCATTATTGTTTCAGGGGTGGCGGCAATGGTGCTGACGACGGCATCGACGCCAGCAACAGCACGCTCCAATGCCGCAATATCGTGGGGGCCGGTCAGGGTCTCGAAGCTTTCCAGCCGCCCAAGCAAGTCTTTCGGAACTCTATCACGATTACGAGCCAGGCCTCGGACCTGATATCCACGCTCGAGGGCGGCTTCGGCAACAGGGATGCCGACGAAGCCGGTTATGCCAGCGACCAAAATAAGCATGGTTGATGTACGGGGGTTGAGCGGGAATATAAAGAATAATGTAACTGTAGGAGCTATCGACTCTGAATCTTGTGGCGATGGAAGCGGTTAGGACTAGGAGAATAAAAGCAGCCGGGCCGGAGGTACTTATAACGAGGAGGAAACCTTGATTCATAGCGGCCAACCCATCATTCGTAAACCAGTCGAGAAATCAGAGTCGATAAATCCGACGCGGCCTCGGTCCAGGCTTTGGGATACCCAATCAATTGCTTCATTCTACATACAATCACTCTAATCATGCGATATCTCAAGCACTGACAAATCATATTCCCCACCATGAAATGTCCGTCCGAGACCGAGCATGCCACTTTATCAGCCGCGATGAAACTCAATTGCGTCACACATACAGCCAACTCGATTTTTCAGTCATAATAAACATTGCCGTTAAACACCGCGTCTCCGCATGTTCAATTTCGCATCAAACATGGATCCAGCGGTCTCAGTGACATAGTGGTGGGTGTCAGTGACATCTTTCCCGTGTTCCTGACCGTAATCTCCAAACTTTATAGAAGTCGCTTAGTATATTGATGCAAACATAAGAAACAATGTTGACTACAAATCTTGTACAGTAATTAGAGTCCATCACCTCCCCATTTGGCGAATGCCGGGGTTCTTTGTAGCTCTCCTATGGCCCAAGGTCCATTCATATTCCATCTCAAGTTCGATGGCATCGCGTTGAGCCAACCCGTGATGAATCTTTTATAAAGATAGAATCTTAAATTAAAATCGATTGAAAAATTTTAATTATGAACTTGATATTAATCAGTTAATTAAGAGCTTCAAATCTGCAAGGTAAACAATATTTCTTTTCTCATTGCGTTGTGATATCCGGTCTGGTATCTTCTATGTTTTTTATGCTCAAACTTTCACTAGAAGAAATCATATTTTTGAGACAGTCTGATAAACTAGGGCGAAACATAATCGGTGGTGATAGTTGTGATTTCTTGAATTCCGCTGTAAGCATTATTCCGCTATGTCACCGCGAGCCGGATTTGTAATCACTGCTCAACCCTTCTTGGAATACCAAAATTTTGCCCTCTCTCCTTCTTCTACAACGGCCAATGTAGTCCAGCAACAGTGCGACCAGCCTTTTAGACATGAATCCCACCGAAGTCGCACTTGTACCTCGGGCAGCGGGTGTCTGCCGCCAATGTCGAGTTGGCAAGCAGCGATGCGACAAAATACTACCCACCTGTTCACGGTGCGCCAAGTGAGTGGAATGGTGTGGAAGCAATATTATACACCGCGGCTTGTTGTTGATCACTTCTGCCGGAGTAGAAAACTTTTACGATGTGACTATTCCGCAAATGCCAGCCTTTTGGCCTTCAGTCCACAGCAGTTTTGTCCAACGTTGAAGACTCAAGAAGTATGCATTTGGTATCTTTCGTCTCATAGTCGGATTCCTCTTATTCAAGCCGTTTCTGAGGCTGCTTTCGGAGGGACTGGCGCGGAGTGTTTGAGCACAGTAACGCAACTAGTCTGCGAACTGTTTCTCGACAGCGGGTCGGGCGTTGAGGAGGTCGTGAGAAGATACTACGCCAACATACATCCCTGGTTTCCGATCATCCAGGAAGACCTCCACTATTTCTTGTCCTCGACCATCACCAGCCTAGGAAACCATGGCCACCTATTACTCTCTATGTATCTTGCATCTCACCCTCTGTGCGAGCACGTCAGCGAAGTTGCTCACAATCCTCTCTATCTGACTACCAAGCAAATGTTTCTGGCCATGCAGACATCGAGCATTGGGTCAATCCGGCTGCTCGAAAGTGGTCTGCTTATTGCAGTGTATGAATTTGGTCATGGACTCACCGAAAAGGCCCACCATACTGCCAGTTCTTGCCTAGCTATATATCGAAATCTAGTTGAAACACAGTTTGGCCGAGAGCCAAGTTCGACAGAGGACTTGGCGGAGATCCGGACTTGCTGGCAAGCGATCGTGCTTCTTGACCGGTAAGAAGCTTTCGCCTCTTTCCCTTTTATCGGGACCGTAACCAAGCAGCTTCGCTGATTGAATCACGTCCAGTTTAATCAATTTTTCCAAGACTATCAATGCGATTACGACAACACAAACGCTTTTCCAAAAAGACTCCATTCTTTGGGAGTCCATCTATAATTCAAGCATATTGCCAGCCTCTACGACTAAATACCAAGTTCAAGGAACATTATTAGACATGGAAATGGCAGCATCTAATTTCTCAATGCTATACCGCGTTTCAGTCCTCCTCGGTGATATATTTGAGCATGTGGCACAAGTAACAGCGGGGAGAAAACCATCAACACTGTACAAGGACCTTGAGAAGGAAATCAGCCTCATCACCTGCAACATGATCGAAGAAGCTGGCACCGCCAGCATAAAGTTTTGCGAGGCATCGCCCTCGCTCTTAGGTGAGTTGATCACTCATAGGAAACCACCACTCAAGCTAAGGCGGATTCCACTACAGCTCATTGTTGTTATTACAGCTGTTCCGCACAACTCACCAGCTTGAAAGCAACAGCGCTCGAGAAAATGGTATGGCCCTAGAAACAACGCAACGCATGGTCCTTGACATGAATAGAACGGCAAGTTGCATCTTGGAAATTAAAGATGCTTCCGCAATGTCTCTCATGGGCATTTATTGTGTTTGCTCTGCAGGCGTGCTTCTTGTGCTGGCATCTCAAAGAGTTGACCAGATAAGCCTTGCGGATTCCGATATGGCTACTATTCGATCCAATCTAGAAGCTTTGAATAGACGATGGGGGATCGGAGGTAATTTTCCGATGAGAGCCTCGTTGTTAACTTTTTTTGGAACTAAAATCTCTCTAGCTACGTATCTACAGTGTCTACGTGAGGATCCAGACTTCGATGGCTCGTGCTAAACAGCGAAAACGCCGACAGCATAGCCCGAATCATCAAGATTTAGATGCATCTTTGATGAGGGTTGATTTGGATCCGATAAGTCTCTTATCAGTTGTCAAGAAGGGACAAAAGATATTATGAAGGATGAGGGGAAAATTCAAGAAGTTCGGTAGGTCACGGTCGGCCATAGGGACTTTCAATGTACGTAAATGTAGTCCGCAACCGATTCCAAGCCCTACTGCGCAACCTTGCTCTTTTGATGTGGGATTCACTAACATTATATTTATTCTTGTTCACTATCTTTATTTGGCTTTCACTGTGCACGACATTGTTGTCTCCCCCTGTGGTCCTCCGATGGGGGCAAGGCAGTGAGGAGCAAGCGGTTACCCTATACTCTTAGCATCTTAATTGTCAACGTCTACAGCTACTTGTTCCTCGGATCAGCATAACAGATACGACATGGATTAGTTAGTCGACCAAAAGTGAAGAATTCGGTGGCCTTTTTTAACTCGAATGCTCTTCTTAGTGGAATATTGTCACGAAATATCATATATTGTTACTTCCAACGTTGGTGGATATAACACTCCCATGCAGATTACCTAGCGTCAGCCGCTTGTTATCCTGCAGAAGAGGCGGAGATTGCGAACAGTACTGTTAATTCCGAATAAATGCATTCCCGTTCACAGTGAGTAAGTTGTCAAACAATGATATGGGTTAAGATGGAGCCAAAGCTGCACCACCACGTCGTGCTTGGAACCTGTGCGCGTCATGCAGAGTGAGACATAACAGTGCTCCATAAATTACCCGCGGCCGCGGGAGCAGGGGTTATGATGAGGCCGCGGGTTATGACGGAACTCTCCGGATGAGACCTGGGACTGGCAGTAATCTCAAGTCAAGTTCTGACCAAGGTACTTATAAGTATGACTTTGATCACTACGCCGAATAATAAACATTTCTTCTTTCTTACAAGATCATTGATCTAAAAATGTCGGCTATTACTTTGCGCGAGTCTTTCCCCCCAAAGCCAGCTTTTACTGAAAGGAATATCCCGGACCAATACGGCCGGGTGTTCATCGTCACCGGCGGCTCATCAGGATGCGGATATGAGGTCGCCAAGGCTGTTTTCAATCTAAATGGACATGTTTACATTGCCGGAAGATCTGCCGAAAAAGCCAAAGCTGCAATTGATAAAATCAAAGTCGAGCCCGCCGCTTCGCATCCTACCGTCAAAAGCGGCAAAGGCAGAATAGAGTTCCTTAAGCTCGATCTTAATGACTTGGCTTCGATCAAAGCCTCTGCGGAAACATTTCTGTCACAAGAGTCCCGTCTGGATGTTATATGGCATAATGCTGGTATCGGCGGCGCACCGCAAGGGAGTACTACGGCCCAAGGCTTCGAAACCCATCTTGGAGTCAACGCGCTGGGCCCAGTTCTGTTCCAGGACTTCCTGACACCGCTGTGCATAGAGACAGCAGCTCACCCAGATGCGCTTAGAAATGCTACTCGGGTCATCTGGGTCACATCGTCTGGTCATCGTGGCGCGCCCGGCCCGGATGGTGTCAATTGGGACGACGTCAACATGCACTCGATTGGTGGACTCAAAGGCGGCATGCTAAAGTACGGCCAAAGCAAGGCAATGAACGTCATGTATGCTCACGAGTTCGCGCGTCGGTTTGGGCCTCAAGGTCTAGTCTCGCTCTCTCTGCATCCGGGATCCGTGAAATCGGAGTTTCAACGCAATCAACCGAAGCTTTTTAGGGCCATCACCTCGCCGCTTCTGTATGATCAGCACTTTGGTGGATTAACAGAGCTTTTTGCAGGATTCAATCAGGAGGTGGATACGTCAACGGTAGATGCAGGGGGCAAGAATGGGCGTTATATTGAACCATGGGGCCGTTGGGGTGTTGAATCACAGGCCGTGCTTGACGGACTCCAAAAGCGAGGAACCGGTGAAAGGTTGTGGGACTTATCTCAACGTCTCTTGAAAGATTACATGTGATGTAGATGGAGCATAGATGTGCCCTGAGCAATCTTCGCCACTTCCATAGAAGACAATACCAAAGGCATGAGGACAGTGTGTTCAGATGTGCCACAACCTTGGGCTAGTATAGCCTATTATTTGCGTTTCGTATTCATTGTGTTCAGATGTCGGATCTGGCATCTTCCATTGCTTTTTTTTTTACTTTTTGCTCAAACTCTCATCCGCATGCTTCAGCTTCGAACTTGGTAGATCAGGCAACGACGGCATTCCATGAGGATATTCAGATGTTAGATCTGCCTGGGAGGAGTGATGAGAGCTGAGAGTCACTGTTTTTATTCCTCGGGTTTTGGTTGCTGCTCGGCTAGATTCTTGCGCCATGTCGCGATTTGTTCGAAAAAGTGCATCATGCGAGGCCCAACAGACGGAGCACTACCAAATACGGAAAATTTAATCGCTAGTGGGTTCCGGCTTGGGCGGAAAGAGATTAGAAGAGGTAATCTTAATCGCAAGATGGTCAAAATGATAAATCTACTGCGACGCCATTCAACGAAACAAGCCTACGACTCCTCACAACCCCCGTCGCACTCTATTACGAAATAGTTTGATATATGGCTTGATGGCCATTACGACGCTCGTAGTTCACGAAGCGAGACTGATGAAATTAGAATGCACTTTGGGCGGATCTTTTCTTTGAATGGCGCAATCCCGCCGTTGAAAGAGGTCAACATTTTGGCTGGTAAATTGGGCCTCTGTGGGGAACGAAGTGACATCCTATCAAGCTTATTGTAGAAAGCCGTCTAAAAGGTAAGGTTAAAATGTTCCAGTAGATTTATATAGCAGGGATGCATAGGGCCTATATATTATTCCTTTGCCCCCGGCCTGTGCTTGATAAACGGAAAGGTCAAATTAGCCCTTCAAGTTGCATTACCTCACTCAAAGGACTGATTATACAAGCCTCATGATGGCAGTTCCGTCCGAAAAGTTTGCCAATGTCGAGGAGGCGATCACTACTCTGCCGGCAGAGGAGCAGGTAAAGACGACTGGTTCCAGCTACTCATATAAATCACCGATCTCCCTGACCGTTTGACAGGCGAATGACCTCGACGTGAAGCTTGACGGAGAGCGGCTAGCCAAGTAAACCAACTGATCTCGTACTATTCTATCCTGTCTCTAACTTGTGTGTGCCCTTACAGACTCTTTTTCGCTACTACCGAAGATATCTTAGACGCTCAAGAACAGGCTCGCTCTTTGACTCTTGAAGATGCTCGGCAGGTATGTAGCTACTGTTCATTTAGGCTGGAAGTACGGAGCCCTAACAAGCAGTACAGCACGCTCAACAGCTCGTCGAGGCTCACATTTCCGACCCAAATATAGCACACGGCACAATCGACCGCCTTTCTGCGTTCCTACAAAATGACGCCCTTTTCCAGTCACCAAATGACCACAGGGAGGAAATTGAAGAAGCCAAGATTGAGGTGGCTCTTCTCACCGGTAACAGTCCCTACGCAGAGGTCCGTGCCGTCGTGGATCCGCACGACAATCCAAACTTGCCATGCGGAACTATTCGTGCTTGGGCCATTGGGTTATTGTTCGTCGTCATCATTGCCTTCATCAATCAGCTCTTCAGTGTCCGCCAGCCGACTATCTTTGTCCAAGCTCCGGTCGTGCAGCTTCTGTCATATCCTGTGGGAAAATTTGCCGAGCGTGTTCTCCCTGACATCGGATTTACTCTCTTTGGCGTCAGGCATAGCTTGAACCCTGGTCCTTTCAACAAGAAGGAACACATGCTTATATCAATCATGGCTAGTGTTGGAAAGACTTTGCCTAGCTCGAGATATATCAGTGCGTATCCCCTTCCAAGTCCATTAGGTGCATACCTTCAATTGCTGACCGTCAATAGTCTTCACGGGATGGCTCGACAAGTATTTCGGACAGTCCTACGCAAAGTCATTTGGGTACCAGATTTTGCTTGCTATATCTACCAATCTCATGGGGTTCGGTCTTGCGGGTCTCTGTCGGAGATTCTTGGTCTATCCGTCCTTTTGCTTATGGCCAGCAACACTGGTCACCATCGCTCTTAACAGCTCGCTTCATAATGGTAAGCGCGTGCAGGCATTTTCCTTTTTGCACGTCCATTATGTTGACTCCCACGCCTCCTCTTAGATGTGAATAACACTGTACCTGGCCCATTTCGAAAGTTGTTCACGATTTCACGATTCCGGTTCTTCTTGGTTGCCTTCTCGTCAATGTTTGTTTACTTTTGGTTCCCCGAGTATATCTTCCAAGCCCTGAGCATCTTCAACTGGATAGCGTGGATTGCCCCAAAGAACTTCAACCTCACAGCCATCACGGGGATCAAAAAGGGGCTCGGCTTCAATCCGCTTCCTACGTTTGACTGGAACATCGTGACACACATCCAGGATCCACTCATTGTTCCGTACCACGTTACAATTAACACATTCTTTGGTGTTCTCTTGGGTGGAATTACTATCATCGGCATGTATTGGACCAATGCCTACAACACTGGCTACCTTCCAATCAACACGAACGCCATGTTTGACAGATTCGGAAAATCATACAATGTTACACGAATTCTGGACGGCCAAGGATGGCTCAACGAGACGAAATATGAGGCATATTCTCCAGTATACCTGGCTGCTAGTAGCATCACCATGTACTACTACTTCTTTGCGGTGTATGCCGCTATGGTGTCATATGCCACTCTGTACCACCGACGGGATATTGCACTTGGTTTCAAGAGTTTGTGGAGAAGCATGAGGAGAAATGGAACTAATGACTTCCAAGATGTCCACTCAAGACTGATGTCGGCATATAAAGAAGGTGAGTCTACAACATATGCCTTCTGAGAATTATCAGCTCACAGCAATTCTTAGTTCCCGAATGGTGGTATTTGATTCTCAATATCGTCGCCGTGGCCGTGGGAGTTGGTGCAGTTGCCGGTTGGCCCACGCATGTGAGTAAAGAAGCTTTCTACTTGGCTTTCAGGCCCTTAAGCTGACCACCTTGGCGAAACATAGA